GGCTTTGCTCAGCAATGGGCATTTATACGCTGTTGATGTGTGTTTGTTTGTGTGTGTGTGTGTGTGTGTGTGTGCACAATTAATAAAGAAACTGTCTTACTTATCACTCCATTCACACGATACTCCTTGACACTAAACCTATGGTATATTATTATTACCTACCTACTTAGATACAGTTTAGTCATGGTCGTTTGGTTATTGAGTTTCTGCAGAATGTCTAGATAGTTAGGTAGTCTATAGGTATGCTGATATTACGGCCAATTTGCGGTCGCCCATGTTTGTTGGTATGGGAGTTTGATTATTAGGTGTTGTGTTATGTAATAGTGATCTGGCTACCTACATAGTGTTTCGTATTGTTAATTTGGAGTGTCGGGTATTGTTATTGATGACGTCATTAGTATCTTTCGTAGTGTACTTTTACTGTTGGAGACTTTTTAACTCTGTTATGAGTCTCGCGTAGTAGGAAGTGATGAGTATCATATACGGACTGCATTTTCAAACTTGCTACTACTTTTTAAAAAAAAACTCCATATAGACCAATAGCATCAATGTAGGTAGTGTAGTAGGTAGTAGTAGTGGTAGTAGTGGTAGAGTATATATTTATTGTATTTCTTGAATCCACTATCACAGTAAAACATTCCTACGGCTAAATCACGAAACACAAAACCAGATATTTTATCAAATTAAAACACATCGTAAATTCAAACGTTTCTATTTGGCAAACCTACCTCATTTTCTTATATTGAATAAAGTCATCAGTAAAATGACCAAGTACATACACACAAACAAACACAGTTGGAATTTGTCCAACCCTTGGGAATGAAAGGTGGGATTGAATACTATAGATCCATTCTATCGACACTTAGTTTATCAAAATAACAGGAAAAAACTACGTATAAACAGGGAATTGGGTAAATGAAACAGCAATCCATCCATCAAAGGGGTGACAAACTGTATCAGGATCGATTTGTGGCACATTGGTGTGAGACATATTGGTATGTGTCATGCAAAGTCACGCGTTGTGACAACGTAAACGTGTCGCGCTGGGGTTAGGGAGCGGGTTTGCTGGTGGTAATGGCGGAAAGCGGAGGATAGATGCCTAATTAGACAGGCTATGTTAATTGAAATCGCAATTCCTTTCGTTTTTTCAACTAGGTAATGTATCAGTATATTGAAGGGGAAATGCTATTTTAAAATTTGTTCTAAATAGCTTTAACGTCTTTCATAAACACAGTGTTTCAGTATAATATTTTATCCTTGGTTGTCAATAATATTAATTCACAAATTAGTAACTCGTGTTAAATATGAACAATTTCCAATTCCATTGATTTTCCTAATAACACAATAAAAATAAAAATTCAATAAAATAACTTTTCCGATAATAAATAATAAACACGACTTTTCAACTTTATAAGGTAAACCCGTAATTGGGTTTTTCTATTACAAAAGAATATTTCGGTTGTAGAGCATTGGAACCATTTTCAATGAATAGGCCGGACCCCTATACCGGTGGGACTCAATACATTGCCAAACCGTGGCTATTCGATAATATCCTGTGTCTACCCCTCCGAGAATTATAACCGTGAAGATTTTTGTAATACAATTTTGTTTTTATACTTTTACACTTTTCGGTGATTCATATTGGGACAGATCAAAAATAGGGATGGGTGAGTCGATTTAAGTTTTTCAGCTGTTAAAGCTTTTAGGTAATATCTAGCACAGAGCCTGTGTATAAGTCCAAGGTCCAGTATGTCGTAATGCTCACCAACTGTTGCATAAAACTCATTTAATGACTATTAATACCTACTTTGGCTTACAGACGTAGGTTTAGCTTAAAATTAGTCGATGCAAAAATGTGAGAGAGCCATGCTTCGGAACGATTGACGATACCTGACAGAAAACCGAAATGAAACAACGCTTGCGTTGTGTTTGAGTGAGGTCACCCCCTTCTTCAATCAAACTCAAAATCTTCAAATTCCTAATCTCCAAAGGCTGGCAACGCACTTGTAACGCCTCTGGTGTATCGGGTGTCCTTGGTTGGTGCCGATTACTTTCCAGTTTCTCTCATATAAAAAATGCTACCTAATTTTCAAAAACATCCCTCTTAAATGATGACTGTTTAACGCAATACAAATACCAGTAACAATTGGAATAAAATTGACAAAAGGAAAGCAAATGTTTCGGAGCTAGCTTGTTTACACCCACCCGCCTTGTCGGTAAGTTCCGGCCATGCGCTTAAACATTTCTCTTTTAAACGTTCACATCATACGAATAGCAGGAAATGTAACAAAAATCCATACTTTTATTAAAGGTGGGAAAGTGTATGTGTCTGCTTGTCCATCTTTTGCGACGAATTGAAGTGGTTATTTTTAATTGGAGTTAGTTAAACTGTCAAACACCAAGCGGTCACCGGTGACCGCAACCTATTGTTCTATAATTGTGTCTACAAAACCGGTACTCGACGAGTTAAAGTGATGGAGAGTGGCATAGGCTATGTTAAGTCTCTTTCTAATCCCCCACTTCCCTAAAATAAGGGTTGGATGTATGGAGCACTTCGCAATTTTCAAGGTAGAAAGCTGGTATTTATAGTTGGTATGGGGACTTTGTGAGTAACAAAAAAAAAACATCTATCATTGTTTTTTCTGAAACTACCTCTGACACCTAAAAAGATGGGGTAAATCACATTACTACAGCCAAATACGGTATGATAGTAAGGTAGTATTACCCCGAATTTAACGCGAATGAAGCCGTGGGCAAAAGTTAGTAACATAATAAAATGACTATCCGATGTTTTCCCCTGCAAATACGTTTTGCCTGTTAGCATTTCAAACTTACAGCAATTACTTTTATCATTTCACGCGGAAGTACAAACTCTGACGTCTGATGTTTGCTGTAGAAATGTGCTGCTTGGAAATGGTTTTTAATATTTTGTGTAACGTCATGGATTTGTAATGATATGCTCGTTTACTGATAGAGGAAAGCTGGGAATCGAGGCCTTATAATGTGTAAAATAACGAACTAAGACCTGTGCCTTTCGCCAACGCCACTTTAGCGCTTGTCTACAGAGAGTAGAAAACTAAATGTATAGGGATGACACTGACAAGTGTCAAAATTTACGTTAATTCCATATAATTTGGTTTTCTATTCTACATGTAGACAAGCGCTAAAAGGCATTTGGCTACAGCTGCTGAACACTAACCGGTAGAATAGAAAACAGGCGAGTTAGTGGTCAAACGTCGGCCCATCAAATATAAAAAAAACACAATAGACCTGTAAATAAATCATGGCTAGATTGAGAAATCTCATAATTTTTATCTTGGTTTTCTTGGTGTTTGGTGGTCATTTTATTATGTTGGTTTTTTAACCGAACTAGTATCAAAAAGTAGGCGATACATTGAAAATATAACCTTTGAGGATCAAAGATGTGTAGTTTTTATTTTAAAATTGTTGGCTGTTCAGCTCTAGTTTTTCGACTAAAGAAGACGAAACAAAAATAAGGTGATGTGTAATAAGTTACTAAACATTTTGTACAAGTAAATTGTCAAAAATAATGAACTACAATAAAGTCACTCTATACACTTTGTAAAATGAAGTTCGTTAGTTCGTATATTATTTTGGACAACTGCCTAATTGTAACCACGAAATTAATATGGATAGCAGGAACACCCATTTTCAAATTAAAAGCTTCATAATTAGATTGAAATCTCAAATATTTTAGGAATTTATTTAATTACTTTTTATTAATACTAATGTTTATTTCAAGTGTCATTAATGTTCGAGAATCTATTATGTATTAGAATATAGTTAGCAGTTCATCTTTTCGTTTCAGTTTAACTGGCTTTTAACGAAATCTCTTTGGGTGTTTACGCTTTGTCGGTGATGAATCATTCCATTAGTGTTGTAATTAAATTAATGGATATTAGTTATTTTCTTAGATCTACCTAAATGTAATTAAATTAATGGTTAATAAACTTGTTCATTTTCTAGTGGTTAACAATAACCTCAGATTTCTGACAGTTCGGTGAAATGTTTAAAAGTTTTTAATTAAATGAATACTGAAACTGCCCTTCAGGAGAATTATCCTTTGGTCAAATGGGAAATCAAAGCCAAATTCTAAACAATAGCTCTAATGATAACTAGATTATATTAAAACAACGGCTAGTACTCAGTTATACGGCTTAACAGAAACATTTTCCTTGACTTCCCACGGATCTATTGTGAAGTTGTTTTACCTAATAATCCAAAACTAAGTTATGTTATCGAGGAAAACTTCATTTCTTCTGAGCCGACTCCGCCACAAATACCATAACATTACAAGTTTATGATCAATAAATAACACGAGTTAACCTTTCCTAATTGATTGATGGATGGCTGTTCTTTGCGAACGCAGGGTGCGCGCCACAACCAAGGTGAGTTCCGGGATCACATATAGGTATTTCATATACACAGTTTTAATTACTACAAGCTAAGCACAGAACTTGGCAACGCATTTCTAACTGAAATAACGTCTATAAACAAAGCAAAACTTCCCCTCCATATCCTACAAAGCATCTGAACTGTGTAAAAGCTCGGCCGTAGGATACAAGACGTAACGTTGCATAATATGGCGCGTGTTCAGCCAAAGTATTCGTTATGGTATTTGCTACACCTAGCCAACGGGGGCATACGTTTTTCGATATGACGCCGAACGTCAGGTGTTCATCTCGTGACCTAGTTATCAAATTCTATTTTAAAACAACAGCTTTAAGTTTCAAACGGGAGTGTGTTCGCGGTTGTCGCTTGTGTCGTTTCGGTTGTAAGGCGACGGGAGCCCTCCCTCTAGGAGAGAGCGTTGCTGGCGGCGGAGAGCACTTGAGACTCTGGCGAGGTGATCCGAGTGGCGATATTCGCGAGTTGGGGGGTTCGCTCGCTGCATCCCTCTTGCTCGCGGAGCGGCCGGCGCCGCGGCGGGCGGGAGGTACCCGCACCGGGCCGGCGTCACTCACATCGTTTCGGTCTCCCCGATCGTGTGTCCGATCCTCTCCTACCCGCGACGTACGATCTCTCCGAAGTCTACCGGTACTAAATCGAGCGTGCCGCGCTTGCCGCGACATTTATCATAAACATATCCCTTATATCGTGTTTAACCCTCCACTCTCCGATCACCTGCTCTCCGCACGACGGTCGGTAAACTTTCTTTTAATTATTAAGTTTTGTTTTGGACTTTTCTCTGTGGAATTTATGGACGGTTAGATCTAAGACTTTACACGTGGTTAGTCAGCATTCTACAATTCTGTTGGTCGGTGCAAATAAAAGATTGTTTGGATTGTGGTAAAGGAAAAACGTCCGTATAGAAAAGCGGCCGGCCCCGCGCCGCCCGGTCTCATTTGCATCTGTCAAGCACTAGGTAAGTACCTGCTGCGTCTGCTTTTTAAAATCCTTCTGGTTTTTTTTAAGAGTCCTTCAGGAGATCTTTCTTGGATAGCTTTAATCTTGACACAGCGTCGTTGCTAAACAAACAGTTGGTAGTAATTTCAATTATTCGTCATAATTTTAATTATTCGGCTGAGGACAATGTAGGTATTTAAAAATGGATAGATAAATCCTCACCTGAGAGGAATTCTTTGTTTAAAAGTGTATCTTTAATTTATGAACGTCTGTATTTAAAAGTGTACTAATGACTTGGAGTGATTTACGTCCAGTTATGCTCCCATTATTTGCGCGTATTATTGAGTACGATATAATAAGTGGAGTGAGTGAGATGGGTACTTTTATTGAAGCATAATTTAGGAACAATTTTTGCGTTGTTTTATTACGCAGAGCTCTCTCCAGCAGCGTAATTTTGTTTTATTGAAAAATGTTCGGCATAACTTTGCATACGACCTCTGAACGTTAATTTCGAATAAAGCAAATACACCGAGAGCGATATTACCTAAACTTTAGTTTCCAATTTATTGTGCAAATCGCTATATATTTCTAAAAGCGCGGGAAAGGGATAAGATTATTGCCAAAGTTGGAAACTTTGCTCTAATTTGGGTACAAGCAAACTAGTCTTTGTGACTATTAATTAAAAGGTAATAAATTAATTCGGATAACATTGTGGAACCAGGAACCGTTTCGAATAATTCCTGTAAAATACCTTTAATTGTTTAAACTTCTTGTTTGTAGTATTACTATTGTTTTAATTTACACTTTATTTGTAAGAAAATAGAGTTAACATTCACAATCCAGTTCACGTACGTTTGTGGTCAGGATATTAGATTGCGGAAGAGGTTTCCTATAAGACGGAGAGCTTTGTGCTGGTCCCGTGTGGTTACGAGCTTCATGGCTCGAATGGCTCCAACATGGAAGTAAATTGATCTCTTACATATTTGTATTAAGGTGGGTCAAAGAATAACGTACTGCGATACACAAGGATACATGTATTTTTTTCTATATGAGGTTATGCAGCCAGCCCAGGTATACTTAGAGTATGGAATAAACTCAACGCAAACGTAAATGTTCGCGTTTCCGGTCGCCCCTTAACTTCTTTGCTACTAGTCATGCATACTACTAGTCATAGTACATATTGCTACTAGTCTTTTTTTTAAGGGGGGAAAATTATCGAATGACTGTTCCCGCCTGGGTGAGGCGGGAAGGAGTGTCAGATTCTTACTGACTAAAAACGTGCAGGAGAAGGAACGGGGTGGTCGTTCCTTCTCCTGCACGTCGAGCCGGAGCCCCGGTAACCCGCGACTTTGCTACTAGTCTAAGATGAACAAACGAATGACTTTTAAAAATAGTTGCTAGTTAATGTAATTCATAAATTATATCCTTACAACTATTTTTAAAGTTCAAGAAATGAGTATAAAAATCCACACACACAAATAAAGACATAATTATATTCATAAATAACTTTACGCCTCTGTCTCCCATTGGGGTAGGTAGAGACTTGGAATGCCAATTGGTACGATTCTATCACTTACTTAACAGTCATCAGTCTTTCTGAACATGCTCGTCAGTTAAGGATACAGAAATAGATAATACAATGTATATTATAGATATAGATAGAGTGGTTAAGTGCAGTGTAGATAATACAATGAAATTAAAAAGGGTCACACTATTTTCAGTTCTGCAGCTAAAAGCTAGGTATTTCAGGTACCTACTGTAAAAGATGAAAAAACACGTGGATTATACGTTCACGTATTGTCAGGAGTATAAAGATGGACTCATTGAGATAAAAACGTATCTTAATGAGTTTGTTTCATTTCAGCTCGTCATTATTGTAACGAACCTTAATGAAAATTGATTACACTTTGATTCTATTACTTTTTGTGTTTCTTATTTCTTGTTTGTTTTTGTTTTATTCAGGTAACAAGAATCGCTTTTTTCTTGATTCAAAGATATACGGAGTATAAGAAACTTTCTTGTAGTTTTTGTGAACAGTTTATTTCACGAGACGTACCTAATAGACCGCCTCGTTATCCGAGAGGTCGCAAGTGCGACTACCGGGCAAGGGGTCTCGGGTTCGATTCCCAGGTCGGGCAAAGTATTACTGGGTTTTATAAAAATCTTAGTAGCACGGAGTCTGGAATTGTGCCCGGTATGGCAATAGGCTCACCCTCTATTACATGGGACTCATAGGGAAAAGTGAGTGTTACATTGACAGTGGCATTAAGCGCCGTAATGTTCACCTCTGCCGACCCTTTCAGGTATAAAAAGGCGTGATGTTATATACCTAATAGAATATTACGATATTTTTGTCATGTGATCTACCTTTGATAGAAAATGTATCAGAAAAATACACCACAGAAAATTATATCAAAACATATATATTATGATTACAAAATTTTTGTCTGTCAACTACAAAATTGCACTGAAAAACACACAAACATAGTTAGGAACTTACTACACATACTACATCAAAAAAAAACACAAACGTCAACAAAGTTATTTATTTCAGCGAATAAAATAAATACATCGCCAACTTTCCCCTTTTCGGCTCTTTAAAAGCTAAATTATATACGCTTGGGGTGCAAAAATGGAGACATACACCACTGTAGGGACTCGAGAGTTATTGTAGGCGACCTACATGGCTAGAAAGTACTCCATTCATATTTTATATTCCATTACACGAGACTACGTTATTCAATAGTCGAGCCGCAAATTTTGTGGAACATAGCATCTACTTCGATACAATCTATTTGGTTAGGGAGAAAAATTACAAGCTCATGACACATGGTTTTCTTGGACGAGGAAATGGGCAAAGTCGGGAGGCAGTGATGTATAGATAATATTTTAAGAGAAGCTTGTTATTTGATTTGTGGTTAGTGTATCGGCTTATTGGTGAAACGGTGATTTGATTGGTGAGCTGCGTCTACAATAAAACTGCTTTCTCAAAAAAAAAAAAAAAAATAGGAAGTATAGACTTTTAAATCGATAATATGTTTTTATAATAACTATCGTGAGACATACTAAATTAACTAAAATCGCGGGTTCTTGAGGAAGAACCCCTCTGTGGTTCGGAACTAGTATGTAGAGCTTTTCTCGGTATATTCACGAAAATGTGTGTTAAATATTTCTGCAATTTAAGCAATGGAATAACTGGTAATAGTAGGTATAACTTTGGTTCTACGTAGGTAACAGTACCAAGCACAGCAGTACTGGATCATTACAAAAGTAAAAATCTATACTTAAATAAGTACAATCAATTTTCTTCTCCCTAATCATTAGGTGCAGGTAGGCCACAGTTATCTTTTATGGCTTTCCAATTTTAATTGCCTAAATAATTTCCAAAGCAGTAACGAAAACCCGTAGGGACATTAGGCTTAGCGTCCTCTTGAAGGAAAATCTCCCAAACTCATGCATACAAAATGCTGTTATCACAAGTAATGCGATACAAATTCAAACAAAACATCACTTGTTTTCATTTAAATTTCGACTTTAAATAATAATTTATTATGACATATTTTACATTACATAATTACTGTTGCTACCTTAACTTTTAAGTAAGATAATACCCTGTCTAAAATAATGGGCTTCAAAAGCTTTTTGAGACAATGTTAGGTACTTAAATTTTGTTACCCTTGACAATTTTACAATAGGAAAACCGTTCAGCCATCTAACGACATGAAACGTTTCTAATTGTAGGTTTAAATAAAATTATTTATAATATAAAGTTATATAGCTCTTAATTGATGACAGAGTGATTAGACTTGCCACTATCGAGCAGTAGAATTTCAAGTTCAATTACAGAATAGAGCAAATTATATTGGTAGTTTTTTTTGGTATTTGTTGGAGATTTATGAAGCTTTGTCATCTTCTGATGAGTTATTAAATTGCAAGTTCAAAATACACCAAAACAATTTATTTTGAAAATAAAAATAGTCATGACCAAAACAAGTCAAAGTCAAAGCATTTATTTCAATTAAACCTCAATTAGGCACTTTTGAAACGTCAAACATTGAATTGTACGTCCGTTAAGTTACGCCTTCGCCCGAAAAAATTGACAAATCTATCCAACAATGTCCTATTACCCTTCGTACTATAAGCGGTAAACTATAGACATTTTGACATTGATCTGGTTTTTTGACAAGACATCTCTCTATGGCTCCTATAAGAAGACACATGTTCGGGTAACTGGACTAAGATGGTCTCAAAGTCAACCCTAATCTCGTTCAGAAAGGGAAAATAGAACAAAGAGGATTTAAATAAAAACAAATATATACTATTTGAAGACAAACGAGGAGATAGAGAAGGTTATGAATATGATAGCATAAGAGTTACTCTTTTAAGTTATTTCAAAAGCGTGAAAATACGAAAATGATTTCAGTATAAAGAACAAAGTGATGTCAACATTATCATAGAAAATATGTACTATACGTCAATTGCAATCATGCCCCTATATTGACTCACCAACAATTATATACACTAGTATAATAAATAACAAACATTTTCATCAGATAACAGTAAAATATTACAATCGATTAATCGCACAGCAATTCTTTAAGAAAAAATCAATTTATAAAGCAGATAATGTATCAATGAGACTGTAGAAAACATTTTTAAAAAACGAATGATGAAGTTTCTTTCTAGTTCTTCTCCATTCGAAACTACACTTTGGAACGAGCGCCTAGCTTCACTGACAGACAGACGGACGTACAATTCAATTTTGGAACTTGACTTTGACTTTGACTTTAACTAGTGCTTTGACTTTGACTTTATCGACTATACTATTTGGAAACAAAGTTAAAAATATACATTACAGAAATCTGACAAATTGGAATGGTTTGATGGTCTAGCTTGATCTACATGGTGCAAGAAAAATGAATTGGCAAAGGAAGTTCTAGTAAAGGAGTTATCTCAGTCCCTTTGTTATTGACATAAGCTTTGCTTGTTTTCCCTCTGATCTTTGAGCAGAAGAAAAAC